ATTTAGACAGAGTTCTAACTCCATTTTCTTTGGGTGAGAAGAAATCTTTGGTAACAATTTTTAAAATCCAGGAGCTTAATCCCTTTTCCCATTTTTTTCTGCAACACAGACTCCCATGTCACTCTTCTGCCCTTCAGCTTTCTCTTCACAAGTCCTCTTCCGGAGAAGCTTCTTGCTTAGCAAGTCCTATTAGAACTCCAGAAAAAGGAAAAAATCTGAATAAATACTTTCTATGTCATTAGTCATCTTTCCTAAGTGTGGTAAATGTTTTTTTTTCCCCCTAAAATAGAGATGAGTCTCTTGGTAGTCAGTGGACACTGATGAAGCGTGGGTTGCCAAGTATTAGAGAACGTATGTATTTGTTGCAAAAAACCTATGTTAATAAAAGCAAAACTTCAAAGTTGCAAATGTAATCGGCAAAAGGAATAGAATGGTAAAGTGATTAACTTATGCAGTTTCTTATGCTTGTTAAAATACTTAACCTCTGTAAACTAGTTAGATTATACTTTCAGCTTCATGAGCTAATAACAAGGGAGTAGGAAAGCTCTCGTTTTTCCACTGTATCTTGGGACTTCATCTAGTACTGGAGCTGCACACCACTGCACTAACAAAGACCTGGATTTTTCCTTTAAGTGCATGACACAATATAATGAGGGGATGTTAAAAGCTGCAAAGAATCTTAGGAGACCACACAGCCTAAGACTTTTTTTTTGAAACTGGGAATGATTTCTTCCAAAGAAATCTTATGCAGAAGCTCAATATTCAAAGCAGACAGAAGTAGATCTAATCTAGTTTAAGAGGGGAATGTGAACCCCTGCTCATTTGGGAAGAAATTTTCTCTAGGAAGCCTCCAAAAGCAGCTCCACAAGATCCCAACAGAATAGTTATAAAACTATGGATCTAGTCCAACCCTTTCTCATCTTACACACAGGGAAACTGAGGAAGCCAAGGCCTCCAAAGGTTAAGTTTCTTGCCCAAAGTAATAACAATTAATAACGTTTAGGAGTAACTGCATAGTTAATATTAAAACTAGTAATGGTGGATGATTTCCAAAGGACTGAATTCTTGGAAAATCTATGTCAACACAAGAATTCTTCCTGATCAGCAAGTATTTTCCTATACTGCCCTGTTGATTGTCTACTCATATCTACATTCAAAGACATCAACTACTTTTTCCAAATTGATGTCAAACAAATGCCTTCAGATCCTTGTACTCCACTTAATCAACTAGAGCCACATCTTTCTGAACACACCACTTCAAGAATCAGAAATTAACTAACAGCTCTTCTGATTCGTGAATTCTTTATTAGAATTCAACTGTCCTAGTATGAAAACATTTTCAACCCAGGGAACTGAGGAAAATATTGGAGAGAAATCAAGCATCAAATATACAACATCATGTCCTTCCATGTCTCCGTGCATCCAAAGAGCCCCCACTTCTAGTGAACCTTCTTTCTTACCTGGGAATTTGGCTGGAATGCAGCATGGGGTGTTGAGTGTTTCTGTAAATTTTCTAGCATTAGAGCCTGGTATAGAGAAGGGCAAAAGTCAGAAACCAGTAGGAAAAAAACAAAAAAACCCTCCCCCAATCTCTTCAACAAAGGCAATGACTAACGGTACACACTTAAACCGTACTCCTCTTCCAGGGACCTAAAAGCCCTTTACTAATTCCATGCCCTTTACTAATTCCGTCCTCATTCGTCTTCAGAAGACCCTTACCTTTAGGTAGCCATGGTTACTGCTCCCAAATGTACAGATGTAAAATGCAGGCATATTGGAAAAATCTGGCTATGCAATAAAATCAGTGACAGTGACAGAACCAGTACTACAATCCCTATTATCTTCTGCACTTCTGACTAGTGTCCCTTCTAAATCTGGCCCTTCACTTCAAATATTCAAACCAGGTTCAAATATATGAAACCAACATGGTTTTGGCCTGACTGAATTCCTTGGTCAGTTACCCAGGACTAGACCTACTTGAGTGAACTTGTATCGTTTCCAAAAGAGTGGCACCTAGATTTACCAAATTTATAAAAATTTCAGACGAGGCTACAGAACAAAATGACCACAGACTCTATAAACTGTGCTCTGATCCAATCCCTCCACACACGGAACTGTCAGCTTCAATGTAAGCAACGGTTTGCCAACTTAACCCTTGAGCCAACCCAGCCCGAATCTGTACTACTCTTCACGTATCCTAACTAACCCTAATTAAAACCAAGAAATCCACACCTTCCCTCCGCTTACACCAAACCTATACACACCAATCCATCCATCTACCTCTTGACAATCCCACCCTAATCTACTCAAACCGATTCAAAACCCCAACATATACCAGCCCGCCTCACCTCTCTCATCAATATTGACCAAACTCTTATCCACCCGAATTGCTTCTGGACGCCCTATAAATTATACACCCCTCCCAAAACAAGTCCCTTCAGATCAAGGTTTCTCTTCATCTCACCTCCTAATCTAATCAAGCAGACATTTTTGCCCTACCCCAATTCTATTCTTTGCGATACCGATACCAACCCCTCATCCCCTCTGCCCAACTAAACACCTAACTCCGACCTAGCCCATCTCGCCCCCCTCAGGCCAGCAACGCCGGTGGTTGTAGTGGGATTTAACTCCTTCTGCAGCGCATGCGCCGAAACCACAGACACAAACAAGGAGGGGGTGGGGGAGGAGGAAGGAGCTTAAGACACTCCGGGAGAGTAGCGCGCACCCTCCCATTTTGGGATCGCGCCGCTACCGTTAAGGCGGGAACCAGCGCTATTTCCACTCCAGCGCGAGCCTCCCCAACCACCGTGCGCGCGGATCCGGAGGCTGGCGCTGGCGGCCTGAGCGAGCTCGCGCCGAGCTCGGACACTGCGCCTGCGCCGCGGCAGAGACTCGGCTCTACCGGGTCAGCTCCCCTCCGACACCCCAGCAACGCCGTCTACTCACCCCTTTGAGCCGCTTGACCAGGGCACTCTTCTGCCCGCTCTTGGCTAGGCCTCGCTGCTCCAGTGCGGCCTTCAGGTCGGTCACCCGCAGCGCCTGAAGAGGCTTCCCGTCCAGAGTCACCTCCTCCAGCTCCGCCATCTTGCGTGAGGTACTCGGGTCCGTCCCGACGGCTTCGGGCATCTTCGGTAATTTCCGCCAACGCCCTTCGAACGTACCGAGTTGGCCCCGCCCACTTCCATAGTCAACCCCTCGATTACCACTCAGAACTCCCCGGGTTCCTCCGGAAATTCTCGGGTGTTTCCGTCTCCACATCGGCACCAATTGGTTCTTTCCATCCTCCTAGTCGCTCCCCCTCCCTCAGCCTGCTTTCAGAGCTCGGTTCTCTTCGTGTTACCGAGGCTTTGGATCGAATCTGTTCGGAAGCTCTCGACTCTGGCATAACCAGAATCGGAATTATTCGGCCATCTCCGGACCTGAGGCTGAGACGCTGTGGCGCTTGGGTGTTTGGGGCTGGTCCGGGACCGGAAGTGCGTGGGCTTCCCGGCTGGCCCTCCTTAGGGTTTTTAGGAAACCTGGAAGCGGCGGCGGTAGTTGAAGTCTAAACACTCTTGTGACGGTCTCCGGGTGCCCTGTGAGACGAAAGGGGAGGTAAGCGGGGTAGAAGTACCTCCCTGGGCCGGGTCAGACTCGGTGTTTACGGGCTACCCTTAGTAGGGCAAGCCTCCCGCTCCCCTACGGAAACAGCTGCCGCCTCCCATCCTCCGAATCCCCGCCACTCCCATCTAAGGCTACGTTGCTCTTTGGGACCACGGAATGCCAGGCTCCGTGGCCTCCAGAGTGGCAAGTGGCAGCACCGTGTCTTTCGACCCAGCCTGTGAACTAATTCGTGATAATTGAACTTGAGCTTGCCGTGGAAGCCATGTCGCGGAAAAGTTAGCCCTTTCTCCGAGTAAGAGTATAAAATTCCTTTAGGAGGAATTGCTTCTTGTAGGGCCACTGTGAAAAGGCAACCTCGGCTGGACCGTTTTGCTACAGAACTGATGTTAATTGCTTCGGGGTTCCTTTCTTTGTCACTACAAATACTCCAACTTAGAGCAGAAGAAACACAAACAGTAAAATAGGTCGTAAACAAGTAGTTTGTTTTCCTTGTTAGAGATTCAAACTGTGGGATTTGAAAACTATTCAAGTTGGCTGACCTTCCAGTTGCATTAGTGATGCGAATCAATGGCAAGTCATCAATAGGTATTATATTAAACATGAAGGAAAATTGTTCAGACATGAATTGTCACACAGCTACAACAGTATAACAGTTGTTAGATCCCTAAGCCAACAAACCAATTAGACTGTTTTTTCAGTACTGAATAAACACTTGGCTTCTTCTGTTTTTCTTACTTTGTTATCTTATTTTGGACAAGGCGCCTTCACTAACTCTGCTCTTTAATTTTTCCTGGTGCTTTACAGGAAATATAAGAAAATAATGGAGTTATGAAGTTCTTGGCATATTTCAGAGGCTACATGCACATTGCGGAGAAGGCTCTTTCATCATATATGTTTTCCCTTTCTTTTTTTTCCTTCTGTTGATAGCTCTGGAATGATTAGCATCTAGGCCCTGACCAGCTGCTTGGTAAATTAAAAAATGTGTACCTTTTTTTCATTTTAGGGAAGATGTGTTGGACCAATATTAATCGTTGGTTTTTCTTCTTTACTGAATCTGGAACATAGAATTAGGTGGTAAAGAATGAACAAGGAATGCTTTGGTTATTTTTGGATTGTTTATAAGAATGATGGAGGGAGGCAGTGGTTGGGAAGGGTAATGGGTTTGAAAATGAGAGAGGAAGGTTGGCAAATAATGAAATGAGGTTATTCTTGAGTACCGTGTCTAAGTTGGATAATAACCTAAATAAAGGACCCTGTTGTTTTTCTGTAAACCAAATTGGTGAAAACTAATTTTCTTTGTGCACGTTGATTGAGTGTGATAAGATTCTGTGTTGTTGGGAAGCTGTATTTTGGTTGCTCTATCCAGAGAGTATATAACAGTGCTCTTATGTTTCAGGATGCCACTGGGATCATCTTCCTCTTCGATGCCGCTACCCTTCCCTTCTCCCTTACCCTCAGTACCAGACAATATTTCTAACTCTTCCCCTCCCCCAATGTCTTACATCACTTCCCAGGAGATGAAGTGTATTCTTCACTGGTTTGCCAGCTGGTCAGGTCCTCAGCGTGAACGTTTCCTACAGGACCTGGTAGCTAAGGCAGTACCGGGAAAATTGCAGCCACTGCTGGAAAGTCTGGAGCAGCTTAGCGTGTCTGGAGCAAACCGACCACCTTGTATCTTCGAGTGCCAGCTACGTCTTTGGGATCAGTGGTTTCGAGGTTGGGCTGAGCAGGAGCGCAATGAATTTGTCAGGCAGCTGGAGGTCAGTGAGCCAGACTTCGTGGCAAAGTTTTACCAAGCAGTGGCTGCTACCGCTGGTAAAGACTGATAGGCATTAAAATCAAAGAGGATAACCAGAGCTAATGGAGCCGAGGCCACAACTTTACCATGAGAACTTCAAATGTATCACTTAAAGGCCTGGGGATGGTGTCCCGATCAGCTGACTGAACTCGCTGACCAGTACAGGCCTGGTGATTTCAACAGCCGATCAACTGGATTCCTAGTGTAAATGTTTTCCATCTAAGCAAATCCAGATCAGCAGTCTGTCTCCTGGCTTACTTCTTTCCAAGAGATGTCAAACCCTCAAGAATTTAAAGGCTTCTTTTACAACTATAACCAAAAGGAATCTACACGTTATAACTCAAGCCTACTGCCGGCCCATAGGGGTATAAAGTAGAGCCCTTGTAGGGAAGAGAGAAGGACAATAAAAGGTCATGTTCTTATAATTTAGCTGGATTCAGATGGCTGCTTTCACCACTGTTACCAAATTGTGGTGTAATTATGTGATATCCCAACTACTAGCTTTCCTAGTCATGATTTAGTAAAATTATGGAAAAATCAGGAGGTGGAGATAATTAGCTACTCCTTCCTCCACACTGATGTTGGTTTGAATCCAAGTAGCAATGATTTTTTTCTAAAGTATATAGGACATCCTTGGAGTTGGTAGCAGATGTTCCTGTTCTATAAGTTTGCTTTACAATATGAAAACAAGTGACATTCTTTACAGGTTGAAGCGTTTTATTTTTTGTATCAGAATAAAGAACAGATTTTCAGAACCATAAGTCTCTACCTATTTTTCATTGCAAGGCTAGTGTAATGTTGATATACAGAGAAGGAGGCATTCTGAGAAAAGTAGAACTTAAGTATAGACAAGAGATCGACTTTCCATCCAGTTTCTCCTAAGAAATCATCTCTGTCCTAACCTGTGTCATGCTCAGGGTAACGTCACACCTCCCTCATTCCTCCAACTGTGCCCCCTGTTGTGCCTTGGGGCTCTAGTGAATCGTAAGGGGCAGAAGGTCCCACCTGAAGAGTAGCTCATTTCTGATAGGCCATGGTTCCCAGTGCAACCACCAGGATAAGCGACATTAGACAGAGTCCCATGGACAGACCGAGATGGGTCATGGAAGGATTATGGTCCGAGGTAACTAGAAACCTAGGGATGTAGGGGTAATATTTGGCCTGGAATAATGCCTAGGCCTCGGAGGTGAAGTGCCCTGCCTTTATTTTACTTTTTTTTAAAAAATTTTTTAATGGGCTCTTCCCGGACCGGGGCACGAACCCGTGTCCCCTGCATCGGCAGGCGGACTCTCAACCACTGCGCCACCAGGGAAGCCCGTCCTACCTTTATTTTAATACCTAGAACTCATTCTTCATCCAAACGGTAAGCTGAACGGGAAATCAATAAGGATATAGAACCTGAAAGGAAGAAGACCAAGATCCAAGACTGCCAGCAACTTAAATTGTTGGAAGGAGGCCTAATTTGGCAGTGAGGGAAATGGCTTAGGGGAAGAGTTAAGACTATAGTGTTTAGGCAAGTTACCTGGGTGGTGCTTCAGAAAAGAAAGGGGGAATTCCCTGGCTGTCCAATGGGTAGGATTCTGCGCTTCCACTACAGGGGGCCCAGGTTAGATCCACGGTCAGGGAACTAAGATCTCGCAGGCTGCACGGTGTGGCCAAAAAAGAAAAAAAAATTCATTAAGAAGAAAAGAAGGGGACTAGGAGCCCTTTGTCCTAGAGATAGGTGAACTCTTTTACTGCTGGGGAGAGAGGTGTCCCATGGTGATAGGCACCATGTTAGGGATCCTTGTTTTCTGAAATATTAACTGTATAGGACAGTGTATGTATGAATGAGTGCTTAATATAATTTCAAATATCTGGATTCCAGGAATTTGAAAGAAAACTCCTTGGAATGTTATCTTACTTGCTGTATTCTATGGTAAAGGTGGCTCCTCCATAATATACTTCTAGAGGTTTCTTCCAGAGAGTCAGGGTCAGGGCCCTGTGCAGCATACCAACTGAAGGCCCTTGGCAGCCAGGGGATTTCCACATAGGCACAGTGAAGACCAGACTGGTGGTAATCAAGAGACTGTGGAAATAGCACCAAATGGACATTTGGATCTCTTAATGGAAGTATAGTCCCTGGAAGAGTATATCTCATGAAACAGGTGCAGGCTTGGGACTGGGATGAACGGAAGGTCTTTAGAGGAGGGTTATCAAGTAAAGGACTTGAACATTCTCCTTGGCCCACTGTATAAATCCTTAGCCTGAACCATTGATTTACCCGCCGGTGCTCACCAGAGCCTTGTAGAACTGCTCCAGTTAGCTCTTCGCCCTCTTCCTTCCCCAGGGAGTGGCCTGGGGGGGCCCAGCTAAATAATAGGTCAGGTTGAAAGACTTACAGGTGGGTAAGTAATATTGATAGCATCGGTACCTTCATTTGTCTAACAGAGCCAACCCTGGGGACAGAAGAGATGGCCATTGTTCCCAGGTATCTACAAGGAAATATGTAGCAGGGTATAGTTATAGCCTCAGTCACCTGCTCAAGCCCTCCTAAGGAAAATGTACATTCTAAATCAGATTCATGGACTCAGTAGGGTACTTAGTAAAAAATAAATGAACATCAATAAAGAAGCTACAGGGATATATTGTACAGCACAAGGTGTAGAGCCAATATTTTATAATAACTTTAAATGGAGTATAATCTATAAAGATATTGAATCACTATGTTGTACACCTGAAACTAATATAATATTGTAAATCAACCATACTCCAATAATAATAAAAAAATTAATGAACATCAAAACACATTGGATGGTACTACCATAAGAGCACTTCCAAACTTCTTGCCAGTGTGCTACAGCTATTCCACTTCTGATACCCACCTGAATAGCCTTTCCTGGAAGGCATGGGACCCAGGGTGATCCTTCCACCTGCACCTTGTACACTCCCCTCCCTGTGCACTGATGTAAGTAGCAGTGGCCAGGGGGTTTGCTTCCTTGAGGTGTGGGATCTGAGAGGGATGCCTGATCTTGTCCCCAGGAAGCATCTGTGAAGTGGGGTTGGCAAGGAAGCAACAACTATGGGGATGGTAGATCTCCCCATGGGGATTCTCCGCCCCAGGTGGGAATCCATTTTCCTTCCTCCAGCATTCACTCTGAAGGGCAGGGCAGAAGGTAGAATAGTGTTTGTCCAGATGCCTTAGGAGACTCCTCTCCAGCCCCACTCGGTTTCATTCCCCATTCTCTTGTCTACCCACCCCATTGGCCAAGAGCTGATACCTGCATCAGCCTTCCAGCATGATGGAAGCTTCTCCTCAGACTTCAGCTTCCCTTGTCCAGGTGCAGGTAGTGGCAGCCCAGTCTGCTGTGTGTAGGGGATGGTAGAGTGACACTAGAATCACTGACAGCTGTGCAGCCCCTCAGCACACTCACCTGCCAGTACAGAATAAGTCTGAGGTGCCATTTCCACAGGTGGTCACCAGGCCAAATTCCAGGCCAGACCCTGCTTGAGAGATAGAAGAGCCCTCAGAAGAAATGAAGCCCCCAGACCCGTCAGGGCCAGCCATGCTCACAGCTTCAATTACACTTTGCAGCACTTCCAACCTCTCTCACTCCCCCCAAGCTGACTCGGGTCATGAGTGCCCTCTGCAATTCTCCCTTATTTCTCACCCCAGCCCCACAATAGCTCCTCTGCAGTGCTGTGGTTGACCTCGTACCAGCCTGCGTCTTTGAAGGCATCGAGAGTGATTGGGTCAAGCCGAGTGCGCTGGGCGCCATCGTAGGTAGCAGTCATTATACAGTTCTGGAGTAGTCAGGCCTCCCAGTGCTAAGACAAAGGGCCCCTTGGGAGGAGATAGCTGGTGCCACCTGACCGTTGCCTCTTCCTTCCATCACCCTAAGGTGTTCTCATCCTCACCTCTTCTTCCAAGGGAGTGCCCAGTGAAACCCTTAGCAGTCCCAAGTGTTTGGCCAGGCTGTGGTGAGAAGCAGCTGTCTCCACTCATCTCGCCTTGTCACTTGTTGACTTGTAGAACAGTTCTCGCTGAGTATAGAAAGGGAAGAAGGCATCTGAGGGGAGGGAGACCTCAGAAAGGTCAGGAAGAGTTGAAAGGAAGGAGTTGGTGAGAGAACAGTGGTTCCCTCTGGTTGATGTTGTGAGGAGACATTGCCCTCATTCCTCTCATTTACCGCTGGGTCCTGAAGGGCAATCCCTCCACTTCTCGAAGAGCTGTCCAGAGAAACCCAGGGCCTGGAGCAGTTCATGGAGTGTGGCCTGAGGACAAATGACTGCAGAGTGAAGGGAACCGCAGCAGGACGGACTTCACTCTCTTGTCCCTCTGCCCAATCAGCTCTTCTTAGAGCTGGAGACACCTTCTATTCCACCCTGAGGAGGTCCTTCCACTTCATGGGAAGCTGAGTGACCTGTGCTCCCTCCCCAACCTGATTGCTTCTTCCTATTCATCATGCAGCAGTCACCATGACCATGTCACCGTGGCTGAGGCTGGGGCTGGTGAGATGGGCACAGAAGACAATCGTACCAGCTAGGGGCCTGTCTTCTGAGTCCAGCTGGCAGCAGGCAGTGTAGGCTACGATAGAGGGCTGTGGATGGGCCAGGACAAGGTGAGGGTGGAAAGGAGGGGACTGGGGTAATGCAGAAGTCTTCCTGAAAATGGAGGCCCAGGAAACTTGGCAGGGATGGTACCAAGGGATGGCTTGGAGGTTTTTCAGCCCCCAACCAAACTTCATCAGCATGCCCCAAGTCACCCCAAATAAGCACAATTTTGGGGGGGGGGCTGTGCCACGTAGCTTGTGGGATTTTATTTATCTATTTTTAAATTTTTTATTTATTTAACTTTATTTTTGGCTGTGTTGGGTCTTCGTTGCTGCGCAGGCTTTCTCTAGTTGCGGCGAGCGGGGGCTACTCTTCGTCCCGGCACGTGGGCTTCTCATTGCGGTGGCCTCTCTTGCTGCAGAGCACGGGCTCTAGGCACGCGGGCTTCAGTAGTTGTGGCGCATGGGCTCAGTACTTGTGGCTCGCGGGCTCTAG